GGAGGGTGAACCAACGGCAAAGGAAGACCTTTCTCTCTGTCTCTCTCTCTCACTGTCCACTCTGCCTGTCAAAAAAAAAAAAATAAATGAAAATAAAAAAAAATTGTGCATGGGCTTATCTCACTAAAATATGCCCGCCTAAGCTAGATAAGCTCCTAGTTGGTTCGCAGGGGATTGAGATCCGAAAGTCCCAAGGAGCAGCCGGTGACGGGCAGAGGAGAAAGCTGCTGACGGTAAGGTGAGCTTCCAGGGGCTGGAAGTCTAGGGTGCTCCCTTATCCCTCCTCCGCCTAACTGGCTCCAACAGTGCCCAGACAGGAAGGAAAGGGTCCCCGACATTCAGGAGAAAGACTGAGCACCAATCCCAAGTCACAAGAATGAAGAAGCTAATCAGTGACTTAGGATACATAAAGTAGCATAATTACATAGAAACTCACGCCAAGTTTTCTCTCTTTTTTAACAAAAATGAATTTCCTGTAAGAACTGAGGGACTTCGATTGCTCCATAAAATGTAGTGAAAAAGAAATTCTTTGAGACAACTTACATAATTGTTCCCCAACTCTCTGGGACAGGGAAAAATCCAGTTTGCCAGATGGAATCTCAGGCAGCGATCTCTGCCAACAAGTCAGTGCTTCGAGTACTTCTTCCTGGAATGGGGCTCCCTGGGCATGACTGTCGCCCAACCTCCCGCGGGAGCCCAGATAATAGTGTTTCTATTCTCACAAAATAAGTCAGGGCCCACAAAACAGCTGCCGCCACACCTGAGATCAGCCGGAGACTGTCCTCTGACCTCTCATGCTGCTAAGTAACATTTCCTGACAGCAGGAGAAGCGGTTTCAGGGGGCCTCCTCAGAGAAATGGCAACATTGGTCAGCGTGATATGGTAACTGACTGGCTGACTCTGAATCCGTAAAACATAAAATAAACTCCGTATGCCTCAGACAGGAAATACAGCATACAATTTCTCAGTGACAATATACTGGATGGCAAAATGAATTCACTTTACCATGCAAGGTGCAAAGCTTTGCTTTGAACCAATCTGAGAAAGGAAAATGTGAAACTCTATTTAAAAGGAAAATAGGGAAAAGAGCAATTATTTGTGTCACCAAGAATAGGTCCCACTATAAAAAAACAACAACATAGGATTAGTCCTTAAATGGTCAAATCCTCTATTGCATTTAAAGCGAGATTTAAAAAATGCTTTTAGATTCAACTTTTCAGAAAGTTGGGTTAAATTTTTCAATTGCATTAAATAACTGTAAATTCTGGTGTCCTCTCCCACTGCTCTTTATCTATGAAGCATTATTAGAATATATAATTAGATAAATATGTCATTTTTTCTCATTGAATTTTGGTGAAGAAATACATAGGTTGGAAAAAGAAACTTCAAATAAATTAGGAAACAAACCAAGCTGATAAACAAAACTAATAAGGGCCTGCCAAATGGACATGGAAATTAATTATTTACCTAAAGAAAACATATTGTAGTATTTCACTATGTAAATCAAATCATCATGGTTCACACCTCAAATACACACGATAAAAATTCTAAACAGATGAAAATGAACCATTATTCCACAATCACCTTCCAAAATACTCCTTCGGGAAGACAACTTTTAAACATAAATCAACCCAGTTTTAAGCATCTGGAACCAGCGTAGTGAATCATTTTTTAACAATTATAAATACTCCTGAAAACAGTATCATCCTAGATTTCAAATCACTCTATAGGAAATAAAACAGTACTGAATTTGGTCAAAACAAGTGATGATGGAATATACACTCTGCTAATAAGAAAAGTTTAATTTTTTTTTTTTTTAAGATTTATCTCCCACATGGGCTCAGGGGTCCGAGCACTTGGGCCATCCTCTGCTGCTTTCCCAAGCACATTAGCAGAGAGCTGGATAGGAAGAGGAGCAGCCAGGACTTGAACTGATGCCCATATGGGTTGCACGCAGCGGCTTAACCTGCTGTGCCACAAAGCCGGCCTCAGTAAGAAGAGTTGACATGAGTTAGTCACGTCCCTCCTTTCTTTTGGCCAGAACCATCACTTACCCTTCTCCATGCCCATTTTTCCCTCCAACCATCTCCCATTTGCATTACTTCACCTCTGCATTCCAGTTTTCAATTTCTTAAATCCAGGATTCGTTTTCCCAGGGCTCTACCTACGTCTGAAAGCTTTGATTGCTGTTCACGGCCTACGAAGTAAAATCCAAATTCTACACACGCTCAGCAGCGCCCTGCTACCCTACTCCTAGACACACACACACCACATCATCATCATCATCATCATCATCACCCTCTCCACACGTGAACCGGGCCTAGACTAAGCCCCTTTGGCCATCGACTATGTCCTGCTTTCCACTACCTTTTTCCTGGCCTGGCCTGCTCTCCCTTCCCCACCCATCTTAACAAACCTCGTCTTCTCATATGCCGCTGACTCTGAGGTCCCCAGTCAAGGGATTTTACTCTTGAGGAACTGAAGTCATAACTGTAAGTCCAAAAGCAGTTTAGACTCTTTGCATGGTTTCTCTGAAAATCTGACAATTACCAATCTGACAATTATCACTTCCTCCTTGAAGCATCTGCCATCCCAGATTTAAAGCAAAAACATTTTTCATATTTTAAGTCACACCATTTATATTTCACTGTAAAAAAAAATTTCAAAAATAGGCAAGCAGTATATAAAAGTAAAACACAATTCTATTGCTTACATAACTTGCATTTAATATGATTCTAGATTCTTCCATTTTTTGAAGTGGTTCTTGATTCATTTAAAAATTTATTTTTATTTGAAACAGACACACACACAGAGAAAGAGAGAGAGAGAGAGAGAGAGAGAGAGAGAGAGAATGAATCTTCTATTTGCTGGTTCACTTCCCAAGTGTCTACAACAGCCAGGGCTCGGCCAGGCCAAAGCTGGAAGCCAGGAGCTCCACCCAGGTCTCCCACACGGGTGGCAGCGACCCAACTTCTTGAGCTATCACTCTGCCTCCCAGATGGTGCATTTGCAGGAAGCTGGAATCAGGAGTGGAGTCAGGACTCAAACTCAAGCACTCCAATATGAAACAATGTGGGCCTTAATAAGCAATGTCTTAACCACTGTGCTAAGGTTCAACCCTATACTCTTTCTTCTAAAAATGCAACAGAAACAAGAGGAAGCCATGTGAATTCACTTAGTACCACTAACTGTAATACTTAAAAATGGTTGGATGGTAACAATAATTTCAGTTGCTATACTGTATAGTAGTGGTTCTCAAATTACTACCCAAGTACCCTTAGAGCTCCTTGAGACTCTTTTTGGGAAACCCACAAGGGGAAGATTGTTGTCAAGTAACACCCAGATACTTATGAATGTCCAGTGGAGTCTTCCAAAGGCCACAGATAATTGCTACGGCCTGGCTGTTAAGTTGCTGCTTGGGAAGCCCATATATCTTATTGGAGTGTCTGGGTTCAAGTTCTAGCTCTGCTCCTGAGTCCGGCTTCCTGCTAATGCAGACCTGGGAGGCAGTGGCAATGGCTCACGTGACAGTGTTCCTGCCACCCACACGGGAGACTTGGTTTGAGTTCTGGACACCCAGCCTTGCCTGGCCCAGTCCCAGCTGTTGTGGACATTTGAGGACTGAGCCAGTGGTTGGGAGCTCTTGCTCTCTCAATAAATAATTTTCAAAAATACACCAAATGATCGTGAAACAAAAACTATTGTTGTTCAGTACAATTTGTTACAGGTTATTTAATAACTCTATACTGCTGAATAGTAACGACGGACAAGAAGTGCTAAAATTAAAATACTGGGAACCAAACGCCTTAGAAGTCTATCGTTCTGCACACTGAGGCAGATCTCCTTAGAATCATTTCCTAGGAGAATCAGTGTGACACAGCTGTGGTGATAGAGACCAAGTCTGCAGGAGCTGCCCTTCTGCCTCAGCAAATGAGTGCTCGCCTTCTTCCAACCTCATAAACACTAGCAGATGCAGCTCCTCGTAGGCAGATGAAAGTTTCCTTGACTATTAGTGAGACTATACATTATTTCATGTTTATAAACATTGTATACTTATTTCTACTTCTGTGAATTTCCTGTTCATATTTTTCATGTTTTTATCATTATTTTATTGCTTTTTTCAATGAAGAATATTACATGTGTTGCATATATTTGAAGCAAATGCTATTATGTTAATTACCATTTTTATTTTTGATAGTTCTAAAAGTGTCACACTGTGATTTTCACTCTTCACTTAGAAGCTCCTTTCCAGCACCTCTATCTAAAACAAATATATATTCCTAATTTCTTTCAGTAATTTTGCTATTTCACATCGATGGCTTAATATTTAATCCATCTGGTGTGAGTTATAGTTCTAAAGTTGTTTATTGAAAAGTTTGTCAGTTATTCAAGACCCTATATATAAAAATAAAGGATGTGATGGGTCTTTAGGTGGTTTATGGAAAAAGCATGTAATGAAACAAACTGCGCATGGATTTCACATTTTTCTGTGCCAAAGTACACATATCTTTTAATTCCATTTTCCAGGAACTATTTTGCAGTACACTAGCAGATGGCATTTATTTATTCCACGGCACCATGAAAAAGGTATCCTTTAATGCGCTAGGGATAGAGAAGTAAATGAAGCTGAAGTGCCTGTCCTGCGGAACTTCCAGTCTCATGGAAGGAACATATGAGAAATAAGAAAAAAAGGTCAATTAGGAGCATAAATCAGTACTTCTGTTTCCCCGCAGGCCAACCTGTCGGAGTCAGAGGGCGGCACTAGCTCTGTGATCCGAGGAAGCACGCCGTCTCACAGGGCCTCACGCTGGATTGAATGCTCTGCGGCTGCCCTCCTGAGTCTTCATGATTCTGCAACAAGGGACTCACCGTGTTCCCCCTTCCCTAGGGGAGGGGTGCCCGCAAATATAGACGCTGGTCCTGCCCATCAGATATACCGATTTGGAGGATAACGGTGAGGTTGGAGCTGGAAGCCTCACCGTTATCCATTTGGGTGCCATATGAATCAAAATGATTTTTTTAAAGCCACGCAATTGAACAAAAGGGTCAGAAGTGCACACAAGTCAGATCAGAGGCCTGAGCCTGCAGGTGCTCCCAACTTGACAGGTCTGAGAAAGAAGAAAGCTTCTGCAAATGACGCAAAGAAACGGCGTACCGCGAGACCCGAGGAAAACCAGCAGAGTGTGACATTGCAAAAATCAAGCAAGCGTTTCCAAAAGGAGCGATTGGTTGGGTCAAACGCTGCTGAAAGGCAGAGGTACGTGAGCATGGTAACTAAGCGTGAGCATGATAGCTGGCCTGGGGATTTGGCAAGACGGAGGTGGTTGTTCACATGAATGGATCTGGGGCTGTGTGGGTTGAAGAAGCAATAGGAGCAAAGGACATGAAGACGGCAGGCACATATAATCCTTCAATGGAGATCTGCCGCTCTATGGAAGAGGGATATGTTTTTATATATATATATATATATATATATATATATATACTTTTTTTTTTTTTTTTTTTACAGGCAGAATGGACAATGAGAGAGAGACAGAGAGAAAGGTCTTCCTTTGCCGTTGGTTCACCCTCCAATGGCCGCTGCCGGCTGGCACATCGCGCTGATCGAAGCCAGGAGCCAGGTGCTTCTCCTGGTCTCCTGGTCTAGCTTTAGGTCTCCCAAGTGGGTGCAGGGCCCAAGCACTTGGGCCATCCTCCACTGCACTCCCGGGCCACAGCAGAGAGCTGGCCTGGAAGAGGAGCAACCAGGACAGAATCCGGCGCCCCAACCAGGACTAGAACCTGGTGTGCCGGCACCGCAGGAGGAGGATTAGCCTATTGAGCCATGGCGCCGGCAGAGGGATATGGTTTCTAGGGAATAGTTTTCCAATGCTGGGAGCAATTCTAGCCTGTATCTCTGCTGAGGGGGACAGCTTAGCAAAAAGGGGGAAACTGATACCACAGAGAAGGGAGGTGACTATTGGGACACAGTCCCTGAGTGAGAGAGAGGGAATAGCATTCAGAGAAGTAGCAGGGTTGACTCCAGAGAGATCCAAGTTCAGTTCATCCACTGTGACAGGAGCAGAGGCAGAGTGTAGGGACAAAAGGCATGACCTCTTGGCACATCTGGGAGGCGGGAGGCAAGAGCAAGCTTTTCTGATTGCTTCCGGGAAATAAGCTAAAGTCATTGGACTCTGCTGTAATATTTCATAGACCTAAGTCATGCTTATATCTCTACTAAACTTAATATCATATTCTCAGAAAACAAAGGAGGCAAAAGAAGATAAGTTAGGATACTAAGTCAGGTTTTTTGTTTTGTTTTGTTTTTTAAAAAAATCAGGTTCAGATTTTTGGCAAGGGATCAAAATGAAAAATATCAATGGAAAAAGAAGTCTTTGTAGCAAGTGGTGTTGGACAACTGGCTATGCACATGCAAAACAATGAAGTTGAACCTAGATCTTACACACATATAAGAATTACCTCGAGGGCCGGTGCTGTGACTTAGTGTTAAGCTGCTGTCTGCAGTGCTGGCATCCTATATGGGTGCTAGTTCAATTCCCGGTTTCTCCACTTCCGATCCAGCTCCTTGTTAATACACCTGGGAGAGCAGCAGAAGATGGCTCAAGTGCTTGGGCCTCTGCACCCACATGGGAGACCTAAAGCTACTCCTGGCTCCTGGCTTTGGTCTGGCCCAGCTCCTGCCATCACAGCCATTTGGGGACTGAACCAGTGGATAACAGATCTCACTCTCTCTCTGTCTCTCCTCGTCTCTCTGCACCTCTGCCTTTCAAATAAATAAATCTTAAAAAAAGAATTATTTCAAAATAATTACCAAATAATAATAATTATTACCAAAGACCTAATGGTAAGAGCTAAAATGACAACAGTATTAGAAGAAAACAGAATTTTATCATTTTGGCGTAGACAATAGTTTCTCAGATGACATCAAAATCATAGCCAACAAAAAAAAAAGTAGATAAACTTTATCAAAACTAAAAACTTTTTGTTCTTCAAAGAACATACCAAAAAATTGGAAAAAAAACCCACAAAATAGGAGACAATGTTTGTAAATCATTTATGTCATAAAGTTCTTATATCAGAATAAAGAAATCTTCCAAGATAACACTAAAATGACAAAAAAACTCTGTTTAAAAAGTGAGCAAACATCCATTAACACAAGAAAAGGTGCTCAGCACACTAGTCATTAGGGAAATGACAATCAAAGCCACAAAGAGCCACCACTTTGCACCAGGCATGATGGCTTTAATAAAAATACAGACAATGGCACTGCGGGGGAAGATGTACAGAAACTGGAATCATCATGCATTGCTAGTAGGAGTGCAAAACAAAGTGCATATGCGTTGTTCCTCAAAAAGTGAAACATTGGGACGGTGGTGTGGCATAGACTGCAACACTGGCATCCCATATAGGTGCTGGTGCATGTCCCGGCTGCTCCACTTCTGATCCAGTGTCCCAACTAATGTACCTGGGAAAACCATGGAAGATGGCCTAACTAAATTCGGTTCCTGCACCCACCTAGGAGACCCAGATGAAGATCCTGGCTCATAGCTTCAGTCCCGCCCAGCCCAGTCCTCATGGCCTTAGGGAGTGAAACACCGAATGGAAGATCTATGTCTCTTCCTGTCTCTCTCTGTAAATCTTTCAAATCAATCAATCTTAAAAAAAAAAAAAAAAAGAGAGAGAGAGAGAGAGAATATATCTCAGAACTAAAGCAGCGATCAAAAAAAAAAAAGTGAAACACAGTTACAACATGACCCAGCAATTCCACCCACAGATGGCATTCCAAGAGACTTAAAAACATACGGAGGTCAGGCGTGCTGGCGGGGGAGGGGGGCACTCGCCCCTCATCAGACCCTGGGGCTCCGAGAGCAGCGGCGGCCAGCGGCTTGAAGGCTCCGAGTGGACCAGAAGGCAGCTGCAACGATGCCCGATTACCCGGGCTAGGTGAAGACGCAGCCGCCGTCCACGCTCCCCGAGCCTGCCAGCCCCGCAAGCCCGCCGTGTTCCAGGGCACCACGCGACCCATTTCCTTCAAGCCACACTTGGCGAGGACCACTGTGTTCATGGCCACTTAAAGTGGTCCATGGTCTTTTTTTTTTTTTTTTTTAAGATTTTATTTATTTGAGAGAGAGAGAGAGAGAGAGAGAGAGAGAGAAAGGGGGGGGGGGGAGGGTATCCGCTGGTTCACTCCCAAAATGGCTGCAAAGACCGGAGCTGCTTCGATCCGAAGCCAGGAGCCAGGAGTTTCTTCCAGGTCTCCCCTCGCAGGTACTTGGGCCACCTTCTACTGCTTTCTCAGGCCACAGCAGAGAGCTGTATCAGAAGTGGAACAGCTGGGACTAGAACTGGTGTCCATTTGGGAAGTCGGCACTGCAAGCGGGGATTGACCTACCGCACCACTGCGCCGCCCTGGTCTGTCTCCGGTTTAACAGCGGCAGCCACTCGCCCACGGCCATCCGTGGTGCCCCTTCCACGCCCAGCGGCGTCAGCAATGGCCCGGCCTCGCTGTCCCCGCAGCAGCTGCCCCCGACCCGCGGGGCATGGCAGCTCTGCAAGCTCAGGTGCTTCCTCGCCACGCTGCAGCAGCTCCACAGCGACATCTCCCCGGAGATGCGGGAACCAGTGCGCACGCTGGTGCCGGGCTTGGTGAACTCCACGCCGACCACGGAGGGGTTCCACGCCAAGCTCCAGGAGGCCACCAACTTCCTGCTGTGGCCCATTGTCCCGCCCTTCCTGTCCCTGCGGCCGCGTGAGCTCCTGTGCTGTGCCTGCCTGGCCAAGCAGACCCTGCCCAACACCTGGCCCAGCACGAGCACCTCCTATTGGACACCAGTGCAGTCTGTCGGAGCTCCTGAGCGAAGTCAAGGAGAACGGCAAGAGGACACCTATCAGGACCAAAGAAAATGGGTCAGACCATGACCCACTGTACCCTGACCACTTCAGCAAGCGGCCGTACACCCTGATCCCAGCCCAGCGCTACAGCCCCAGCAACGGGCCACTCCATCCACCCTCCCACCCCGACTACCGCCTGGAGGACATGGACGTGTCGCACCGCTGCCGCCACACCTACCGCCACACCGACCCCCGGGAACTGCGGGAGCGCCATTGGCCATCGGCAGTGCCCGTGGCACGGCAGGAAGATGTGATGGACCACAGGCTCGCGGAGCGCGGGTGGGCGGGAGCAGAAGCACCTCAGCAGCCTGCTGAACTGCATCATGGACATGGTGGAGAAGATCGGCGGCTGCTCACGGTGCTGTGCCGGTGCCAGAAGCCCAACCGGGAGGAGCTGCACCTCTGGATATGGCGCTGGACCCCATGAGCCCGGCGGCCACCACCACCCAACCACCCGGTAGCTCCGCCCATCCCGAGGGGTCTCAGCTAGATGTCCACCACGAGTTCACGCCCAGGGACCTCTTGGGTTACACGCCTGAGGACATCTGGACTAGGACTGAGGAGGCTACCTTGTCTCCGCCCCCTACGCCTCCGCCTGTGCCCATCATCGCCCGGCCCCGCGTCTAGCCGGCCATGGCCAGTCTCCTTCCAGACTTCTTCAGAAGACAGCAAAAGACAATGATGGAGCAGCTCTGGGCGCCTCCTCCCTGGTGCCTGCGGGCTGGGCCTCCCCTCGGACGCTTCCCTCCCACAGCGCAGCCCTTGCTCACCCACCCGCACCCTCGGCAACTGAGAGGAGGAAACAAAGGCATAGGGAACCCAGGCCTAGGCACTGCGAGGCCCCAGTCCTGGCGGTGCCAGCTAGCCCAGCTCCGGACCCCGACTCCAGCCCTGGATGGCCGGAGTCAGCCATGCAGGTCAGTGTGAATGCATATAGCCTCCATAGAGGTCCAAATGCTCGTGTTCATGATGACGACGACGGTGAAATCCAAGAGGTGTTTGCCAAATAAAAGCATTAAGAGAAAGAGAAAAAAAGAAAACATATGTCCACACAAAGACTGGTACAATAATTTTTTTTTTTTTTTTTTTTTTTTTTTTTTTTTTTGGACAGGCAGAGTGGATAGTGAGAGAGACAGAGAGAAAGGTCTTCCTTTGCCGTTGGTTCACCCTCCAATGGCCGCCATGGCTGGTGCACTGTGGCCGGCGCACCGCACTGATCCGAAGGCAGGAGCCAGGTGCTTCTCCTGGTCTCCCATGGGGTGCAGGGCCCAAGGACTTGGGCCATCCTCCACTGCCTTCCCAGGCCACAGCAGAGAGCTGGTCTGGAAGAGGGGCAACCGGGACAGAATCCGGCACCCCGACCGGGACTAGAACCCGGTGTGCCAGCGCTGCTAGGTGGAGGATTAGCCTATTGAGCTGCGGTGCCGGCCCTGGTACAGTAATATTAGTAGCAGTGTTATTGTCATTGCCCAAAAGTAGAAACAACAGAAACGTTCATCAGTGTATACACAAGTTGTGCTGTACAAGAACAATGAAAGAATACTGGACTTAAGGAGGAATGAATTACTAATACATACTCCAGTGCAGGTGAGTCCTCAAGATGTATACCTAAGTGAAGGAGACAGCCACAAAACACATGCCATGTCAAGTGGCACAGGACATGGCACATAAAAAATCAAATCTGTATTGACCGCTACGACGAAGTGGGAGAAGGGCACTCCACATGAGCATCTGGGGATGGGAAGTCACTGGGACACACTGGAAATACTGAGGTGGCAATATCAGCACTTGGGTGCTGGAGCAGGAACTATAGAAGAGTAAGGTAGGAAGACTGGCTGAGCGGATTTCTGAAGGCCTTGAATGTTTTTAACTTCATTCTGTGAGAAGTCCTCTTTTCTTTCATGCTACTTCTTCTTTTTTTTGGGGGGGGGGAGGGTTTATTGGTGGGGAAACCCGACAGACTGGAGGGAAGGTGCAAAGAAGGAAAAAGAGAGAGAGAAGAAAGAGAGTCTAAGAAGGAGAAATTGAGAGACAGCGAGAGCGAGAGCGAGACATACACATACGTGTTCAGGAACAGGTCCTGTTAACTTTTAAGCTCCTTCTACTACACTCTGTTGTTACCTATGTGCATGTTTGTCTCACTTAATGGCTAGTAAATGCCTAAAGATAGAAATTACACGGTTCTCTCCGGCTCCTTGTGGCCCAGTACACAATGTACAGTACATAGGAGTCTGTTGACTTTGGGTTACTAAAAAAAGACCAGCTAACATCATAGAAGTCCACATGTATATACTCCTATATAGTTTTTATACTCCTATATTTTTGAAATTGACCACACAAGGGATCTTTAAGTTCAAGAAAAATGAATATTATGAAAAAAACTATGTACAGATGTGAACATTTTTTTAAAATAAACTTTTAATTATCCTACAAACTGCATGAAGGATTCTGGTATATGCCACTGAAAATGATCTGAAGATATAACCATTTCCTTACCTAACTTGCCTAACTCTCGCATCAACCACTCACACTGTAAACAGAATTTGAAAATTTTTTTCTTTTAAATTGAAGTTTGGATTCTAGTGAAATGTCAAAATTTGAGTAAACACAGCAATTGTATTGTGGAGCAAATTTTGATGAATGGGTAGAGAACCATTTGTTTGAAAAACATTTTTTAGAATGTTTGTTTATTTTTTAAGAGCCAGAGGGAGGGAGAAAAGATAGAGAGAGCCCTCATTGACTGGCTCACCCCCCCCCCCCCGCCCCCAGATGTCTGCAATACTGTGGCTGGGCCAGGCTAAATTCAGGAGGCTGGAACTCAGTGCACGTCTCCCAAGCGGGTGGCAGGCACTCAACGACTTGAACCATCACCACAGCCTCCAGCATCTCTTAAGCAGGAAGCGGGGGTTAGGAGTCAGCGCCAGCACTCAACCCCATCACTCCAACATGGCGTAAGGCTGTCTCAACCAGTGTTTTCATTGCGGGTCCAAACACCCATCCCTATTTGTTCTTTAGTAACTAAAATATTGAGAGAACTATCAGAGACTTTCATTTTAAAAGGGGATTGAAGTTAAACACTGGAAAATATTTTTAATAGATATTTAGCTTATATAAAACAGTGTATCTAAGAAGACCTTGGGACATTTATCATGGAAGCTGTGGTGGTCAAGAACTGACTGGAAACCTATCTGAGGAGAGACAGTTAGATTTTGTTTGCTAAGCCTGTCTGGGACCTTGGAGCCCTATCCAGCCTGCATTTCTAATAACCCTGTTATGAACCTCAGAGAGCAGGAACCCCCAGAAAATGGCAGCTATGTTGGGGAACTGTGTGGTAGAGCCCTTCACAGTGTTCCCAGGGCCTCTCAAACTCTCACTCCTGTGGGAGCCGCTGCAGCCAACCCCACGCAGGCAGCACAGCAATCCTGAGATCTGTAATTTTTCAAATTATATTGTACACGATGTGGTTATGAATCCCATAGCTAAGCCTCCTCATTGCATTTCGGCTGCAGTAGTCAGTGAAGGATCCTGAAACTTGGCTCCAAGCAGCAGAGAGTGAAACACTATAAGGAACAAACACACATTCAGGAAGTCGTCCAGTGCCCTTCATGAAGTACAAACACGGCAGAGTTATGACTGGGTTCTTTTTGCTGGCTGGACTTCAGAAACAAAGGAAGTCTTACTGAACTGCGGGAGTGAAGAGGTCAGACGGCTCCAAGGACAATGGGGCACCCGGGTGGATACTGCTGCGTACTCATTACAGATGCTGCCGCAGGTCTGATTCTCAGGACGTGCACTACTGTGCCGTGTCAGAAGACACGAGTGTCCTTTGTTTGGCAAACCTAAGGAGGCACACACGTCTGCCCCACGTGCACACAGTGCAGAGATTATGACAGTGACGTTCTAAACAAGCAGTGCAGGACCGACAGAAATGCAAGATGACACAGATATTAGTGGGGACAATGACGGCATGGCTGCTGGCTTCCGTGGTATCTCTAAGGGTGTGTAGTACAGCGTTCCCTCCTGTTAGCTCTTTCCAAGGACGAGAGAGAAAAGGGGCACAGAAAATTCTACTGTGTTTATAGTTGGCTTTTTCACCCATGAGAGTCTCTCAGGCATGGAAAGCCAAGACACTGTGGGAAAAAAATGACTTAAATGAAAGATCTCTGGGAGTGAGATCCCAGCAGAAAGAACGGGCCATCAAAGAAGGAGGTACCTTTCTCTGAATGGAGGAGAGAACTTCCACTTTGACTCTGACCTTGTCTAAATAAGATCGGAGTTGGTGAACTCAAGAGGCTGCCACAGCCTTGGCAGCTCATGACAAGAGCCTCAGGTGATTACTGACATCATAAATAAGAGTGTCAATTGTTAAATCAATAACAGGAGTCACGGTGCACTTACTCCCCATGTAGGATCTCTGTCCTTAATGTGTTGTAGTATGTGAATTTATGGTATAACTAATACTCAACCAGAACTTTCTACTTTGTGTTTCTGTGTGGGTGCAAACTTTTGAAATCTTTACTCAGTATAGAGTTGATCTTCTGTATATAAAGATAATTAAAAATGAATCTTAATGAAGAATGGGATGGGAGAGGGAGTAGGAGATGGGATGGTTTGAGGGTGGAAGGGTAGGTATGGGGAAAGAACTGCTATAATCCAAAAGTTGTACTTTGGAAATTCATTTTTATTAAATAAAAGTTTTCTATTAAAAAAATAGTTGGTTTTTTTCTCTGAGAGGTCCAGAACAGCCACATAGAGACAGAGGAATTCAAATCCAAACTGGGAGCCAATGTGGCTACTCCAAAAAGGTCATGGGCACTGGATTAAAAGAGAACAGAGTGCCTGTCAGTTGAAGCTCCAGCTGCTCCACTTCTGATCCAGCCCCCTGCAAATGCACCTGGGAAAGCAGCCAATGATGGCCCAAGTGCTTGTGCCCCTGCCACCCATGTGGGAGACCCAGATGAGGCTCTGGGCTCATGACTGGGGCCTGGTTCAGCTCTGGCTGTTGTGGCCATCTGAGAGTGAATCAGCAAATGGAACATTCTCTCTCTCTCTCTCTCTCCCTGTCTCTCTGCCACTCTGCCTTTCAAATACATAATAAAAATCTTTTTAAAAGGCTTGCTTTGGTGCAAAAAACTTTCTGAAAATTCATTTTTTTTTCATAAGTTTTCATAAGTTTTTTTCATAACATTCAGTATTTTTCATTAAGTTTCTGAAGATTCCTTAGATGGCATCCCAACAGTGATGACTGGTAGCAGCGACTAAGTCTGTGCCCATGAAGCACTGCTGTGGGTGCCAAGGAAGCAGAGGCGCCAGCCCTTGTCCTCTGGGAACTCACACTCAGGCTGGAGAGAAAAGCACATGCACCTGAAAGAGCGGAGTAGCTCCACGCAGAAGACAGGCAGGCAATACTGCTAAGATCACCAGAACGACATTGAACCTCAGCCCATCAACTCAACATGTAACCTGGCATAGCTCACTTAACAAATACTTGGGAAAAGAATAACCTGAGAACCACGGCTTCTTCACCCAAGGCCACTTTTCAGGTGTGAGTTTCTTGTTGCAGAGCTACCTGGCAAACCTGTGATCTAGCTGAAAAAAAAAATGCTCCACATGGGGTTCTGGCCAAT